GCGGCGGCGGCGGGGCCGCGGAAGGACCAGCCCGAGGCTGACGGGTGAGGCGCTCGAGCGAGCCCCGCGGCCTCAGGAGCCGGGGCCGACTGGTTTGGGGGTTTGGGGGGGGAGCGCTGGGTCCCCCCCCCTCCCGCTCTGGCCTCCCGCGATGAGGAAGGCCCTAGGCGGAACCTGGGTAGGGCGTGCGGGTCTGGGGGAGCCCAGCGGGGGGCGGGAGGGGACCGGAAGTGGTCTTTGGAGCCTGGAGGGCGTCTAGGAAGAGAGAAAGTGGGGGGCCGGAAGTGCAGGTGGGGGGCGTGAAGACGGCAAAGGGTTCCCCGGAAATGGGACGGGGGGCCCGGAAACAGGGAAAGGGAGGTTCTGGGCTGTGGACGGCCCGGAAATGGAAACTAGGGAGCAGCTCGAGTGACAACTGTTGGGAAGGCGAGGGTCTGAGGAGGGAGAGGCGGGAGTGACTTTGGGCCGCGGTAAGGGTCTTCCTGTTGAGGGGGACGGTTGGGGGCGGGCGAGCCCGGGCGAGCCTGCGCGGGGAGGAGGGAGGCTTTTCAACCCGGGGAAGTCGAGGCTGAGGGAGAAACGACGACGTGCCTGTCGGGCTGGCAGGGGCCGCGGGAGAGGCCGAGAAACTTGGCGGAGGGAAGCAGCATCCTCGGAGAAGACCAGTAGGGGCATAGGACACAGAGGTTAACCGGGGCCCGGGAGAGGGAGGTGGGCCGATTGTCATCCCGATCGTATTAACATTCAGAGCGAGTCAGGCGATTAATATATGTGGATTACATAAAACCTATTACACGTTTGTCCGTCAGTTCAACTCTTCCTTGTGATCAGCGAGTGCGTTTCTGGTAGGGAAACAAGTTCCAGGGATGGTCAGAAAACGAAGGTTTTAAGACCCAGCCTCCTGTCGTTCACTTCCTCGGAATAGCAGATAACCTTAATTAGTTAGAACAGAGAAACATTACTAGAATTAAAAAAAAAAAAAAAAAAAAAAAGGCCGATGGGGGTGGGGGTGGTGGCTAAATTACACCTTGTGACTAACTCAAGTTGGACGGGAGGGGACTGATTACCTCTGAGGTGAGGAGGGGGAACAGCAAGGGGCGGCTTCCCACCCGTCCAGCAGATCGGTTTCTGTTACTACGTTTTTTTTTTTTTTTTTTTTTTTGGAGAGGCTTTAGCTGTAGCTTCTTGCCGGGGTGCTGGGTTTTAGTGGCCTCGCTCCGTTAATTGGGGGCGGGAATGTTACTAGGTAAACGTGGGGGTGGGGTGGGGGTGGGGGGGCGGTTGATAGCGCAGTGACTCTGTTCCGAGTGGTCTAACCGCTCTCCTGTCTCCCTAGTTTGAGCTCGCGATCTGGCCTGGGCTGCCAAATCACCCGATCTTCAGGCTTTCATCGGTTTGTAGGCCTTGTAGTGGTGTCTTTTTTAACTTACTCTTTTTCTTGACGCTAGATATTTTTAGCATTAAAATTTTTAAAGACTTGGCAAGTTGAGGCTTAGTATCTCATCTCTTAAAAGCAACAAAAATACGTGGTAGAAAGTTGAAAGAGTTTTTATTGAGTAGGGTAAAAAACTGATGCTGGGAACAAAGGTCTTAGTTGTGTTAGAAGAAAGGCAAGAGGCCTGTATATGAGGCCTTGTTTGTGTCGCATTTGGAGTTATTACAAACTTACGGATAATAAATTGTAGAGGGCATTACAGAGGCCTATTTTCTTATGCTTATGCAGCTAGTTCAGTATTAAATCTTAAGACAGTATTGAATTTACTCCTTGTTTTATGTTTAGTCCAAGACCTGGTATGGTTTTCTACATTGTAGCATGGTTGCTGCTGGGCTTTGTATATGACAGCTTGTCTAGGACTGTACCAGTACAAGAATTGCAAAGCTCTTTTATTGTTTCCATCTGCTTCACTGTTTCAGGGTTGTGAGTAGTGTTTAAGTGTGCTCAGCTGACATTCCGTTGTTCTCTGATCAGGCATTTTGTTTTAGCTTTTCGAATACTTTCTAGAAGTTTGAGAACTCTTGACAGTTCCAGAAAGTACTATTATTGTAAAATTAGAACGTATTGCCAGGCGGTAGAGGTCCATGTCTTCCTTGCCTTTAATCCTAGCGCTGGGTAGGTGGAGGCAGGCCGATCTTGAGTTTGAGACCAGCTTGGTCTACAAAGTGAGTTCCAGGACAGCCAGAGCTGTTGCACAGAGAAACCCTGTCTTGAACAAACCAAAATAAAATAAATAAAAAATTAATGTTTTTTTTAAAATTTTAATCAATACAAATATTTATTTCTAAGATATTTTATTCAAGCTCCCAAAACAACTGAGTTATTTTGGTTTTGAATTACTGAAATAAAGCCAAATTAAAGTTTGAAAGCAAATGACTTTCATTTAGTTAGAGCTTAAATCAGTGCAGACGTTCCAACCAGAACTTCTGTCCCATGCAGCACTTCCAGTTTTAAAGGGTCTACTAGATCAAGCTCTTTGCTTTATTTTCTTTTCCCCCCCTCAGTCTTTTTCTCTCACTTTGCCTGCAGTCTTTCTGTCTCTGATTCATCCATACTGGGACTGTCCATGCTGTTCTAGAAGAGTCTTTTTGTTTTCTTAATCCCAGTCTCCATTTCAAGTCATTTCTTTCATAGTCCTATGACTTTTTCTTCTGCAATGTTTGGGTACCATCACAGTTACTATCTCTTTAACATCTTTCTTAAAACATCACTGTCTACATTTGAGAATACTTTTAAAGTGTGTTATGTTCCTTTCAGGCATTCTTATTTTCTCTTTGCAGTGCAAACCTCACTTTTCCATGTACTTTGTAACCCTTTACCGTCGAGCACACCATGTGAAGGGCATCAACTGAAGCTATTTATTCATTTATTTTTTATATTGTGTTTCTGAGACAGGGTTTCTCTGTGTAACAGTTCTGACTGTCCTGGGACTCGCTCTGTAGACCAGGCAGGCCTCAAAACTCAGAAATCTGCCTGATTCTGCCTCCTGTTTGCTAGGATTAAAGTTGTATGCCACCACTGCCTGGCAGTGTTTTTCAGTTCAGTGTCCGTCCCCCCCCCCC